GGCCTTCATAGGGACCCAGTTGGCGCCCATAATTTTATCTTCTATTTCCGGAATTTGAATATATATCCACTCCCTAGCTACCGTCTGAGCGACGTCGAAGGCCCAAAGGTTGGCATCGGAACAACCAAAACTTATGTATCCAAGTACACATAATTGTTTAAAGTTTAATGTATGGCTATTTCCCTCTGGAAGTTGTTAAGTACATTTGGTAGGTTACAGACTAGTGAGCTAAAGAAGAAAAATTTTGAAATTGGAAATTTATTTTTTTGTATCACCCCTTTTAAGAGTCTCGGGCAAAATTATAATATTTCTTGGGTATATTAATATATTCGGGACTCCTTAATCTGTGCAAAAGAAGAAAGCAAATAAATAAAAATCCTTTATTTCCAAATTAATTATAATTTGGGAAAAAAATATAAAAAAAAAACAACTAATTTACCTAACCTATGAGACGTATGACCATCGTGGATTGCTTCTCAAACAATAAATATACATTCATAAAATAAGAAAAATAAAAAACCTAACTACGCAAAATATTCTACATAAAGTGAGAAAAACTTAACAAATTAGTTACACATGGAATTCCTAATGATTTCCTACAGCAGGTACTTTTAGCCAAAACAGAAAGATTTAGGTAGTCAAGAGCTTCTGGAACCAAATTTAACTATCGAGTTGATTCAAATTTACATATTTTATCTATGACCCGCTGGGACCCAAATTACCTACATCGATCCTCTAGCTCTTAGGTATTCTGATCATTTCTCAGGTTAAATTTACTAAATCAATCTCTCCTCGCCTTTATTTGGAGTTGTCTTGAGAAATTCATTTTGTCTAGTACTAGTGGAACATATTCATGTCTAAGAAGAAAAATATTGTATATATTTCCATCTTTCTCGAAAATGGTATGTGTTCTTAAAGGTGATACCCTACGACATATCATTTTTTAAGAATCTTTCCATTGCTTCTAGCTCTTTTCTTTAGGGTTTCTTAGAATATTTATTGTTTTTTACTTGTGTAAGGATAAGTGAGGCGAGGATGGTTTTTTTAAGGTATCTGTTCAATGCAATGGTACAAAAAAGTCTGTTAAGTGACAATAATAACCACCAAATCTTCGGCTTACTTTCGGATACAGGGTGATATGTCTCTCTTCTCGATGGACTGTTCTATACATAGTCGGCTTCAAAACTAAAAAAGAAGTAGAAGCGGAAGTTTGTACGTTAAATAATAATAAAGACATGAACTACAAGATATTCTTTTGGGTCGCAGTTGAAGGTGATGATATCAATCCACTAATTTTTAAAATTAACCTTGATGTTTAAGTAGTAATTTTTATGAGTGTTGCTTTTTTAGAGGATTATTAAGGTGAACTATATTATTTTTTCTATTTTGCTCATTTAATTGTTTCTTTTCACATTTATTATTTAGTAGAGCTTTTTTAACAGTTGACACATTATAATCCTATCTATGCACAGGAACTATACCTTTTTCCTCTTTTTTACATTTGTGTTTTCCTCTTACCTATTCTTCTTCTTTGTTTAATGTTACTTTGCTTTACGACATCAGCTCTTGAATAGCCTTAGGCAAATATTTCTTTCCTTGTTTACTGCTTTTTCACTTTATTGCAATGCTTGCAATCGTCCATGTTTTTTAGAAACTTTTCTACATTCGTCTTCCCTTTCTCTAATTTGTTTTATTGTTTTATTAGCTTTACAAAAACTATATATTATTTAAATATAATCAAACCATTCCATAAAAAAACGCAAACCTGTAATAGTCAAATTATCTGGATTCGCCACCAAAAAAAAAAATACAAAAATCTCCTGGAATAAAGTAATAAGAGTAGGTATTTTAGGTTGAATAAAGCAGACATTTAAGAAAGTATACACATATATTATAGTGTGGCACAAAATGGTCATTACGTCCTCGTCAAATTCTTTTTGACTCCGCGAATCACTCAGCTTTCTTTTCTTGGTAGTGATTTTTGGTTGTTTTTATTATTTTCCTTGATCTTTTCTATTTTTTATGGGGTTTTTTAATCAGAGATTTCCAGAATTTTTCTTATATTTCACAATACTTGATCTTATAACCTAGATCTTGGTATTCCTATTACTAGTTTCCTTTGACTTCCTTTTTTTTATTAGCTCTGACCAGGGGCTTGTGGGGGCGCCAAATGTAAATGGCGGGGGAGGGGTCGCCTCCTCTGGCCTCCTATACCCTACGCAACTGCACATAAGGATGCAAAGCAATAATGGTGGTCTTATCTTGATCGGCCACCAAAAAATACAAAATCTTGCATAATGATCAAACTATTCAAGAAGGGACGCAAACCAACCAATACTGGCGGAAATATCTGGATCCTTCACCAAAAAATAAAAAAATTGGAATTATGGTCAAACTAAACCATGAGGAACGCAAACCAATACTGGAGGAATATTATCTGGATCGTCACAAAAAAAAAATACAAAAATACAAAAATATGTTCCTGTGATAGAGTAGGTAGGTAGTTATCATCAATGGAAATAGTATTTTGTGCAACAAGAGTGGATATGATAGCCATATCGCACGAAGACGAAATTTGAGCACGACGCCATGGTCGGAGTGCTCAATCGTGGACAATCCACTCGAGTTGTACAGTATATTTTTTCTACGACATATTAACGAAAATTTACAAATAAAAAAGATATTTTAGGTTATTAAGACAAAATAACTAATTTTAAAATGACTTTTAATAATTTTTAAAATAAAATAAACGAAAAAAAAATAAAATAGTTTTTTTTTCATTTTCCCCATCCTATAATCGAGCTCAAGTCTTCCGTGTGGAAGGCAAGAACGCTAACCACATGACCACCTATTCTTTTATTTTTGTTGCTTTAATACTCGTAATTAAATTTACTTCATATAGTTTTATTTAAATTAACAAATTATTTATAATAATTATAGACGAAATAAAAACAGAAATGCTAATATTTATCGATTCTACAAAAGAATAACCCATTTTAATGTATGTTTAATTTTAACTAAAAAATATACTGACAATTAGTTTGACAGAATTGTCATTTATTTAAAATTAAAAAAAAAATAGTAGTCGGTTGATCAAAATATGAAGGGTGATTGGTGGAATTAATTTTTTTTCAGTGTTCTCACTACCTAGAATGGATATGAAATATATTCCTGCAGTTGAAGGCAATAGCATACTTTTTCGTTTTGTAATCTGTGCGTAGATAAGCTAATATCCATGTGGGTGTAGAAAAAAGTATTTTAAGTCAACTTATTCAAAGACTTAAGAAATAACAAATCCAAAAAATATATATTTAAATTGTGATATGGTCATTATGTCCACATCAGTTTCTTTTTGACTCGCTGAATCATTCAGCTTGTCTTCTTTTTTGTGGTTTTGATTTTTGATTATTTTTGATTTCACCATTCTTTTGATTATTTTTCTTATACCTTTCAATACTTGTTCTTTGAACCTATTACTTTCCATTTTTTTTACTCTTTTCGTGATTTATTAATTTATTTTCTCTCCTTCTTGGTTTTATTCGTCTAACCTTCTTATTATATTTTTCCTTTCTTGTTACATTATTTTTCCTGATGGTGTATTTCTTCCTGCTTCTACGTTTTTTCGAAAGTCCCAATTTAATTTTGTTCTCCTACTTTCCATTAATTCATCATTTATGTTATTCGTTTGTTTTAATTGTTATAGACAATATCTTTATACCTATTTCTCGTTTGTTGGTACATCTTTAATTGTGTCGGTCAGTTCTTGTTCTTCTTCTAGACAGAGTTCCCAATCTATTTCAGCTATCTTTCTTAATGCCATTTTTCATTTTGATATAGAGTATGAGCCAAAATTAACCGTACTTACATAGTAGCGCATATTTGTCAAAAACTAGCAAATTTAACTTTTCTAGATATATATGACCAAAGAAGCAGTCTTTAAAAATGCACTACAAATCATCCATAAATTAGAGGAGATCCATGGAAGTTTCAAGGAAGAAGTGTAAATAATATGTATTTTCTAAATAAACAAAATAATTATGTTTAGTAGGTACTGTTTATTTTGTGCCACACTGTAGATACAAATGGGTGCCTGTGGGCATGATGAATTTGACAGGGTATAGTTATATGGATTAAACATTCATATGTTTTACAAAATAACATAAGTTCATGCCTTAAAACAAAAATGTAGTTAATTCATTTCTAGTATTTCAGAGGCTCAAATTTGGTTTTAAAACACATACTTATTTGCTAAATCGATTTTGATTTATTAGCAATTGCGATGCAATATGCGACCGCATGCAATGCGATCCTCCTTGAGCATTCTATATAACTATAAATATATCACTGACCCTGTCAAAGCCAACAGGCAGTAATTTCGACAGGTCGTTGGAATGCCTAATATTTTACCGTTGTCCGTAAGTATTTACAATTTTCTCTTATAAATCCAGGTTTTATTAATGTAATCTTGTTATCAGTTCATTCTTTTAAAACTCCCTGTATATTCTATGATTCGCTAAATTTGAAATTACAACGTGTAGAATAATGGTCACCTTGTATACGTATGCCATTAGCATATCCTGTCTAAGTAAAAGCATTTTAAAAAAGTAAAATAGAACCATATAAAAAAGTCGCCAATAATTACCCTAATAAAATGGAAATAAAAAAGCTGAACTTTTACTTGGGTAGACTTGTAGTCTCCTAGGGTGGTCCCCCAGTGACGACACTAATAGTGGGCTATGGGCAAGTTACGATACCTTCGTGCCGATACTTAGCTCCTCCTACCATGGAAGGCCCAATGACATGCCGATATGAGGGACCATAAATGGTTATGGGCGGTACCTCCTTTGTTACCTAACCCAAGAGGAACCCACACAAACAACATTCTTCGTTAGATGTGGTCAGTTTATGCCAGAGTATCGTAAAGGAGCGGTCAATTTTTTTTAAAAGAAATTACCAGACAGTGTGCTGTGTTAGAATTTTTGTTATCATATCTAGGTGATAGATAAGTCAACTGTGCGTGGTTGTGGTTGTTGAACATTTTGAACTCTTGAGTAAATGGCAGTTTCAACGTTAAATATGTCGCCGTATTTCACCGGATACCCCTTTCAAGGTAAGACTTTTTTAATCATTGTTGGTTTTTTTTTTTTCATGCATTTTTATATTGTTTAATATGATGTCAATGTGCAATCATACGGTTTGAGTTTTAAGCAATTAGAAGCCATTATACCACTTGGCTTCTTTTATGAACCGTTTATTTTATACAAAAATGATAATTTTGTAATTATTGAAAAAACCAAATTTATAATTTTTTTTATAAAATTATTTTATGTATTTTAAGAAATAGGTATGTTAACATAAACTTCTATATTTAACTAGGTATTATTGAAAATTATTGTATTGTGTATTTATAATTATAAAATTTAGGATTTAAAAAAAATACCTATAAATTATCTTTAAAATATAATTCTTCTTCTATATTTGGACTTCTTTTACCTACGTTTGTCGAATATAGGAGACCGGAGTTTTTTATCCATTTTCTATAGTTCTTTCGATTTATTGCTAGTCTTTTCATTTCTTTTATTCTTTCTATTCAATTCTAATTCTATAAAAAAAATTAATAGGTTGTTATTTACCTATATTATTTGTACTTAGTTCTTGTTTATGTCCTAGGTACCTATATACATACCAATAACAAGTTTAAAAATGGTTCTTATTAACTATATTTAATTTTTGATTTTTATTGTTTGGCCTTTTTAATTTTGAGTGGGTTATAAACCTGCCTATTAGATACAAAACCGCAAACAAAAGATAATTAGGTAGGTATTTCTAAAATTCATAGACCATTAGAATTCCATATCTCTAACGTTCACTGTTGATTTAAATTGTTCGAATTTTGAATTGTTTCTATAAAAAATGTATAACTAACATATAATGATAATAATATTAATGTAGTAGTTATAAAAAGCCATGAACTTACAAGGAAATGCTGATTACAATATTAAACTTATCCGGAATATTAACCTATTGGTATAAAATCATGTTTTCAACAAACATAAATGTTATGCAAATGCAGTTTCGTAAATAAAACAGCCTAATTAAGTAGATGCATTCATAATGCATTTTAATTATTCCTATTAAAGAGTCAGGTAGGAACCCTAAGTTATACTTACATATTCAATTCGTTTAAAATTAGTGGCACAATTCTTTAGTAAGTAGGTATAATAAATCTATTTGTTAACTCCTTGTTTTTTAATGATGTATGTAATTAATGTCAAATGTATTAACGTTTCGAACCATATTCAAACTAAATTTTCACAATACTAATGTACCCACCCCTCGTTGTTGCATTTTTCTACTCTAAATTAATTGTTTTTAATATTTACTAGGGTCAATTCTCAATTAAATTGTGGCAAACCTTTTCTGATTAATGAAATAATCAAGTTTTACCTACCTATATGTTTTTCAAATTAACATGAATGGACTCATCTATATAGTTATTATCTTTGCACCTTTACTGTGTATGTTATTACAATCATAAGACATAAGCAAACAAATAACTTTATTTTACCAGTGTTGGAGCCAGTGGTGGCGTATGCATGGGTGCTAAAAATCAGTTGCATCAAAAGAACGGTATTCTTGTGTGCATGGCGCCCTGTGCCTATAGGTTGCCTAAAAAATGATTTAGACTGATCTAAATGTAAACAAACTGTCTCTCTCGTGAACGTTACTTATACAGTGCGAAAGTTTGAAGCAAGAGGCTCAACTGTTTTTTGAATTGCCTAATTATTATTATCGCTAATATGACTTATGCCAACCTTTGCACCTTGCACCATACCAAACAAAAACAAAACCCGCCGCCCCTGGCTAGAGTCAATAATGCAATTTTTCGAATCCTATAAGTAACCAAAATTATTGAATGAAACACTTTCCAATTTAATACGGCTTACCCAAAATATACAATCTTACGATCATCAATATATTTTCGTAAAGCGGTTTTAGGTGTCAACCTTTAAAAACAGGCACAAAAATGTCAGCCACACTTGATTACAGGAGCTAATAAGGGTGAAAGATCAGTTAACAAATTCCTGTATTTTGTATTCACCCAAAATTCCCACCAGTTAAAATTTCCTCCCAAACGGAAAATTTTCACCCAAATGGCAATAGTGCGCGCATTACTCCCATTGATGTTTGGGTAGAAGCCGACCGCCTCGAAAGAAATGCCGGTTCGGTATATATTGGACCCTCTCTTCAACAGTGACACAACTAAAAAAAGTACTAGTTTTTGTTTTATTTAGGCAAACCTAACAAATACCTTATATTTTTTATATATAAAAATGTAAAAAGTTTGTTTCTACAGTAATTATTAGATACAGGTCGCTAATGTTGGTTTTAAATTTTCTCGAATTGTCCGTTTTTCACTCATCAAAAGTATTATATTTTGTCGCAGAGACGAGAAACGAGAATCTCTCGTCTCGCGGCATCTCTACTTAGAGTAGATAAATTATAGTAGAATTCAGCAATTTTTTATTCATCCTCAAACAAATGATTAGCTCCTTCATGAATAAACAAGAGTTCACAAATTGTTTTAATTCATTAGTTGACGTGTGTTATAAGAACGTGAAATTATATTCAGTACCTTTTCTCCCTTCTATTTAGTAGATAGATTTAGTTATCCGAGATTTGAGTAGTTCTGTCAGGTTAGAAGTTAAAGTGATTGATTTTTTGTGAATATTATATGCAGTTATTATGTGAATATTATATGTGTTACGGTCAAAGATGATATTTTGGTCTTTAACGATATTGGCCGGTCATTTTCGTAAATCTTCTATTTGAATGGGCATTCTGCTGACGTTAGTGTCCAGTCAATATCGTCAGTGCCCAATTTAAAACACTGCCCGTAACATATGCATTCCTCCCTACATTAAAATGTAAGTTATCTACTAATATACGGGTATGTTATGTTGCGGTTTAGCAACGTAAAGAAAATTTAAAATAATTTAATATCACAATTTTATCCTATATTAGTAAATCATTTTAATATTAATTTTTTTCAAATCATGAATTAAAGAGCTCTAAAAATCGCAACATTTTTAAATTTGCCGCTCAAGCACTACTAAATTTCTATACTGCACGAGTTCCCAAAGTAGGATACGGATAGAGTACGGCTACTGTTTGATCGACAGGTTAGCCAGGCATGTTTAGAAGTATAACGTATTTAGGTACTTTTCAAAATGTAATTACTCTTTCAATTGTAGTTTTTCAAAATATTATTTTTGTATATTCTAGGAAAGTCTAAATAATCTGCTTTAATAATAATAATAATAATATTACTCTCCCTAATGCACCCCCTTACGAGTGATTTTTAACCCCAAAAGCTGAGCTTGTGCGGGAAAAGGGACGGCTATTATTAATATTTGCCGTGGCGCTCCGGGGCGACTTAAAGATGATTGATGGTGCCATTTGACTTACAGATGAGGAAAACCCGGAAAACCTCACCCACCATCATCGAGACGGTAATGCATGGCGATTTTATACCTAATCTGCATGTCATATCAACAGAAATTGAATTTCTATTAATACGGCACACATCAAATTCTATACCGAACCATGCAATTTAATTAAAAATCCACATGGTCTGGTCTGGGCTGAGATTCGAAGCCCGGCAGTCTCGGACCATAAACTTGCCTATAAATGAATAAAAGCGCGTTAGACTGCTACACCACCGACCCACATGTATTTAAATAACACCCTGTATATAATTTACTATAAATTTGAATAGTATCCCTCTGAAATAGTGTATATACAATAAATAAATCAAATGCATTTCCCATCTATTAGTCTTTATCATCCCCAGTAATGTGAACATTTTCCAATTTTCCTAATTACAAGATACAGAAATCAATCAAAAAAATGCCTGAAGGTCTAGAAAGTATCGTATTCAGTTCTTTTTTAAACATGATTCAAGTCAAGGTACTCTTTTTAAAGTAAAAATAGAATCGGTATCTCAAATATAAACTGCAACAGATATCACGAAATTTTATGGTTCCTTATAAGGGATTAAATGATTCATCATTCTGAATGTCTTTCCATTCCAAATTTTCCGAATTCTCAAAAGGCTGCCAAATCAATTTTTTATATCATGGTTTTATGTTCTATCCATTTTTCAACAAGTTTTTTTTTTATGTGTTGCATACCTTATTGTGAAAAGGTTATATGGTTTTATGGTTTATGGCCACATCTAAGAATCTTTGCTCAACACATTTCTCTAACTCGGTCATCACAGACGTGGCCGACTGGGCAGAATACAACTCTTCTGACTGCCAATTAGACAATTGTAGACAATTACAAAATTAGATGGGCAATATCTAGCCATATTTCCATTTTAATCGCCAGGACCTAACGGTATCTCTGCAGCCCTATTTTAGTGGGGTCTGGAAGAACTCACACCGCACCTGGTAGGTCCTTTCAGATCCTCGTTGGTTCTGAGGAATATCCCCCAAAAAATGGAGAGAGGTAAAAGTGATATTCATACCCAAACCTGGAAGGATGGATTACACTGTCTCAAAAACATACTGACGAATTACATCGTTTTCCATGAAGACATTGGAAATGCTATGCGAGAGGTAAGCAAAGCGGTGATTGCAACAACACCACTACATCCAAATAAACATGCATATATCTCAGGCAGATCTACTGATTCAGTCCTTTACCTAGTTCCTGGCAAGATAGAGAAATACTTGGAGAATAAGGAGTTCGTTTTGGATGTTTTCATAGACATAGTAGGTGCTTTTGATAAAACCACCTTCTCCAAGATAATACACACACTAAACAACAGGAATTTTCCACATATGATTAGTGGGTGGCTATTTACACAACAAGCTCTGAAAGCAAGCGGTAAGAGGCAAGAGGCTTGGTTGGTAGGAGATGTCTCCAGGTAGGGGTGCTCTTACCTCTACTGTCGAACATGGTCCTCAACATCCTCATCAGCCACCTCAATAATGACAGTCACTATACAATAGCGTATGCAGATAACCTGGTCATTCTGTCTCAGGGAATTTTAAAACATACTCTGCGAAAAAATGCAAGTAGCTTTCAAAATTATAGAATACT